AGTAAGACGACGGTGGAATAAAAAGTGACGTGTGTGTTCTGACGTTTGATACGAACAGCTGCATGAAATCAAATAAAATCCATCAAAAATCTGCAAGCTTCAACTCATCGGAACTTCAAACTGCTGGCGGCTGGCGACGATTGATTGATGGGTGTTCTTTTTTTAGAAATAGTAAATCTTGGTGTGCAATAAAATGCAGGATTGATTGACGATTGATGATTGATGATTGACGATTGATTCATTCTGACGTCAAGAGCAAGAAAGGAACGTCCCATGCAGCTTGACACTACAGCTAATATATACATCAAATGCAACTGCAACTGCGAGGTCCCACGAGCGAGGTCATTGCGATGGGAGGGATTATTGGTATTTTACCACTTTACACAAGCCAAGAAATACTTGTAGGAATCACATGATGCAAGTCTTGACTTGAAGGTGTTTGTCGTATTGCTGTTACTGTAAGAGGGAAAGAGAGGATTGATTGATTCATTCGACAATCAACTGAATGGTGCTGTTCACAGCTGAGCCTACTTTCAACACGAAAATGTGATGTGCAAAAGATACCTTTTATGGACAGGCAGAGTTGAGTGAGTGACTGAGTTTATATTGGTGAAACTTGAAGCATTGGAGATTTTCAGTGCAATGAATTAAACGCGCCTTATCAGGTCACCCCCCATAGTATTGTTGCGAGGCCTTTCATCATACATCACAGCAGTTGTCCAGCAGTTTCATTTTTGATAGCTTTGCGATTGATTCATTGATTCATTCATTGATTCATTCTCCCAAATGAATCAGGAGCAAGCGTGAAGGTATGCACCGGTAACTACCGGTACTTTTGTGATCAGACTTCTTGGATGTGGATGGTGAGCCTATTGGATTGAGCGAGTTCAATCTGATATCCCTTGTTTTTAAATATAAAAGGAGAAAGTTCCAAAAGTCGTTTGCCAGTATACGAAATCATTCATAATATAGATGATATATCGAAAGACTACTGTACTAATCCTGTACTTTGTGGCTGAATGTTATCACATACCCGGTACAGTATATATGTATATATATATATATCTAATAAAGATTCTTCCAACTTTGAACACTGACATTAATTAAAAGGAGAAAGGACACTCCCCTTCTACTATACTGCAAATTAAAATTCTAAATTGCAAATGCACCACACGCTTCTTCCGATGCCTTCCACAAGACACTCACACAGTCAGGATCCTCTGACTTTTTGTCCCATTTGATCTGCTTGGCCGGTCCAGAGAATTGTCCCATGCCACTGGGTCCCCAAAAGGATCCATTTTTGGTGGCCGCATCAAAGCATGCGGCGACAATGGGCATGGCTCCATCCTCTTGGGATTGGGACATGCGCATGATCCACATGCCACTTCCCATACCTCCAGTCGAGGCCGTGGTGACTTGTAGATTGGTAGCAGCAAGACCGGGATGAGCACATGCCGCAATAATGCCAGAATCACCAAACTTGTCGGCCAGCGCCTTGGTAAAGACCGAATTGGCAAGCTTAGTCTGTTGGTATCGGACCCAACGGGCTCCACCAAACACCATGGAAGATCCATTTCCACCTAGATCTCCTCCATTCTTTCCAAAATACTTTTCTTCTAGCTTCTTTCCGTGGCGGGCTTCCGAAGAGTGATTGGTCACTCTCGCTTGACCACGGAGTTCCTTGGCCTTTTGCAACAATGGATACAGTTCCTTGGTCAACAAAAAATGTGAGATGTGATTGGTCTGCATTTGAACATCGTAACCATCCTTGGTGGCCTTGTCTTCCAACGCCATGACGCCCGCGTTGTTACAAAGAACATCGACAGCATCCACCTTGCTCTTGATGCTGGCCGCCGCCTTCTTGACGGATTCCAAATCTTGCAAATCGCAATCAATCGAAATGATTTTGGATTTGGTGTCTTCCGCTTTCAAGTCGGCTTCGGCCTTTGTGGCACGTTCCGAAGGGCGATTCAACAACAGAATGGTGTCGGCATTCTTGCGAGCGGCGGTGCGGGCCACAATGTAACCGGTTCCAGAAGTCGTTCCCGTGATGGCAACAGTCTTGCCTTCCAATGAAGGAAGACTGGCTTCAAAATCAGGGAACCATTTGGTTTCGACTGAGTGAGGTTTGGAATTGGAGACTCCCATTATAATCGTTGTGTATTATTTGCTTTATTGTTACTGACAGGTGGATTTTATGTTTGGATGGGAAGCGGCGGGGTTCCGATCGTTTGTGTTTGGAAATTAGCACTGTACCGTACGTTCCTTAGTGTTCCATTGTTCTTGAGAATTCGATGTGCATCTTCTGAGTATCTTTCAGAGATCTACTGCATAATATACCGATACATGGAGTACTGGTACTTGCAAAGCCTTTGTGAAACAAAGAGTAATATAAGGCCAGCCATCGCATGACCCAAGTTTGGGTTCCATCACTGGGCCCAATCGTGGCGACAACCGAATCCAGTAGCGGTCATTCAAGTGCTGTTTCTACAGCACCTTCCACCTGTCCTCCTCCTACCTATATATTCTCACATTTGGAATGCGAACAGACATCAGCCAGTTCTACTACTGCAGATTAAAATCCATCATCGTAGGAATGAAATGGAAATGGCTGCTATATACAACTACTATAGTACTATAGGATTGGCTACTGCTTTATTTTGCATCCATTGCTATTCTTTTTGTATTTTTATAGTTCATCTTCGCGAGCTTCCATATCTTCAAATCGCCCCAGCCATAGAAGCATCCATACGGTCTTCCTCTCAGTTTCCACCCATTGTTTTCGTATTTTTGTATTTTTGTTATATGTTCTGTTCAACTTTCGCGACCACCTACTGCAATATTTTAGTGCAGTAGTACGTGTACCCTGTAGGCCAACTCCAAAGATCATCGAGTTGGCCTTGATGTTCCAGGAGGATCAAACGGAAGAGGTAGATGAACATGAGTAGCTCTCGTTTAAAAGCTCTCATTTTTAGAAGGATCATTGGTAGTAGTATCCTTCAGGGGGGAAGTGTTGGCGCATAGGTCGCAAAGCTCAGCGATGGCAGCGCCATTAGACATGTCAGGACGACGAGTAGATCCTTTCACAGAAGCAGCCTTCTTCTCTTTCAGCTTTAATGCAATAAAGGCGGCCTGTATTACCAACACTTGTTCAGAACTGAATATGGCAGATGGTGTCATTTTCTTTCTCAAATCAGCCGCGGACAAGGGAGACTCCGAGACAATAAAAAAACTCCCATAGAGACAATGAGCTCACGATTAATGACCCTGATGACACGAAGGATAACCACAGCGATGACAAGAAGGGCAATGCCAATGGCACCAAAAGAGATTGCTTCCAAGAACTTGATTGCGATCGATTGACTTTCCTTGTAGGATATCAATGGTGGAATTGGTGCTGGGACGAGTGAGTCCTTCGTGGTGTAGGATTCCATTCCTTCAAAAACATCCCTGACAATGAAGTTAGGGTCAAAGCTACCAGTAGGCCAAGCTGGAGCTGCAGCAAGCACGTAAGTGGCAAATGGTACCAGCTTCTCGTAGACTTGTTGGTACTCGAAAGAGATCATATCGAACCTGGCAGATATGACAGCAGGCACTTCTCTGGTGCATGACTCGAACTGCTCATTTAAGACTTCTGCTAAAGCCTTGATCGATTCGTAGTTGATCGATTGAATGGATGCTTCGTATTTCTTGCTGAAGACCTCGAAGATTGGAGACATTGCATCAGAAATTGAGTCGGTGAAGGCTTCGTACTTCTTGTTGAATTCTTCTGCGAAGGTCTTGATTGATTCGTAGTTGATCGATTGAATGATCTCCATAAAAGAGAAAAAAGCGATATCAATAGTGGATTCCATCTCCACGGTTGTTCCAACAAAGTCAACAATGGAAATCACGTTTTCCTTGGCCAAACTGGAGACTTGGATGGATGGACGAGTGTAGTTTGCACTCATCAAAGAAGGCTTGGCCATTGGCTGCATGGCCAAGAGAAAAAAAATCATAATGATGGATCGTAGAGGAAACATGGTGTGTTTTGTTGTTCTTGTTCTTGTTTCAAAAGGTTTTGAGAGGAGGGAGTGAATGTGAATGCAAACGATTCAATATCAAAAATATGAGCAGATTCTGTTGTGAAATGTAGTTGCTCTGTTGAAGCAAGAAACGCTTCAACTTCCAAAAGATGTACCAAGCTCAGTAGAAAAGCTAGGGCTGAAAACCGTTTCAAAGCAAATCGAAAGTTTGGGAGAGGTTTTCTCATGGTTTCGCCAGCAAACGGACACGTTGTTTCAAACTCCAATTGCTGGTCATGTGCTATGGCTCATCATGAGACAGGAAAGGTGCCTAGCATATCATGGATTGCCTTCTTCATGGTCACACTTTTGGCTTTGCGCTATGGCTGTAGTCATTCTTATTCCCATTGTCGTGTCAAGGTTTTCAACGACGAGAATATTGGGCATTATATCTCACGAGATCGTGATGGTGGTTTGCCACACGCAGATACTGCGCCAGTATCATTTTTTTAAAAGAATATTTCCACTGACTTGTTTTCAAATTGCGACATTCATAGCGGTTAAGATGGCGGATGACGTCATAGGCACAACATATCCGTGAACCGTGAAGCATGCACAAGTTCTTCGCCGCATTCTGGATATTTTGCGCGTTTGGTTTTCAATGCTATGTTCATAGCGCTTACGATGGCGGATATGTTGGTCAAATTGGTCGACAGAATCAAGGGGAAGAAGGTACAGTAAGAGACGATGCGAATGCAATGGACGTTGATCCCACTATGGCTGTAGCCATTATTATTGCCATGGTCTTGCCAAGGTTTTCAATAAGCGCAATGGTCCTCGCTGGCCTTGATCGTGATTTCCATCGCGCGCCCTGATTCATACTGAATACGGTACTTCACCGCACTCTACAGTAGTAGCTAGTAGCTTGTTCTAGCTAGTAGTACTACTACTATCGTCCAGCGCTTCACCCATCATGACCAAGCAAAAGCTCAAAAGCGACGAATACGTCAATCGGAACATTGCTACCGGATATTGGATTTGAAAGATTCCAAAACACCAGAAAGGGTATGGATTGAAATGTTGTGAAAAGATATTTTGACTGGTACTGCTACAGTACTAGCACCTGCCTGGCCCTGGTGGAAGCCTCTGCTGTGGTCTTGGAGGAACACAAATACTCCTTTTCCTTGTACTCGTTATAGCCTACCGTCATAACGAAAAGAGTATGAAATTTTTGCTATCTTGAATTTCACTATATTATTCCTATCTTCCATCCCAGCAACAACTTGGGATAGATGCTGCTATATCATATTAATACATCATACTGTTATTTCAAAATCATCATCTAAATGACAATTCAATCATACCAAGATGTAGCGCATTTCGATCACTCTCATCGATTCAACTAGTTCTCTGATCTCATGATCATTCATTCATCCACATAAATACGTAAGCAAGTAATTTAGATACTCTTGAGACCAGCTGCGTCGTACAAGACCTCAATGGTCAAGAGCTGAATGGTGGCAGTTGGAGCAAAGCGAGCCCAGATTGGGATGAATCCTCTCCACAAACTAGCGGGTCCACTCTCAGCAATAATCTTAGCAAAAGCATCACCAAATCCATTGTAGATCTTTGCGTCAGGGGGTTGACTCATCAAGGCCTGAAATTAGGTCGTTGCAGGAAAGAAATTCAGAGTTAGACAGGATATCCGATATTCTGTATTGTATACCCATCAATCATCATCGCAATTAAAAACAGATTGCAATTGTTACTTACCGTACGGACTCGATCGAAGGGAGAAACGGTAAGGGTCATGAAGAATCCAGCAATTGTGGCACTGCAGAAACTAGTTTTGACATCTTTACGATTCCATCCAGTGGCATTTGTGACATATCCCTTGCTGACATCATAAACACCCATCTTGGTTGCGTTCAAAACGCAGGCCCTCGCGATGTTAGCACTGACACCACGGTAAAATCCAGCAATGCCTTGTTCGGTATACATATTAGAGACCAAGGTGGTCAATCCAACCGACTTTCCTTGATTGGCTTGTGCGAGAGTCTTTAGGACATCAAAGGGGTTTCCCACAACGGATCCAACTCCTCCTGTCAAAGCTCCGGCTGCAAACTTCAAGTAGAAGGGAGCTGAAGCAACAAAAGAATTGAACACAGACAGTATCAGTCGAATCGTACAATATTATATTACCGTTAGAAAAAGAAGAAAAAACCAGAAACTCACCATCTGCTCCACTGGCACCCAAAGCATCACGAACTGGAGCATAGCCTCCAAGCTTGATAGATGCATAAGATCCTTCACGTCCCCAGGCCCAGACGATTCCCTTCCAGAAGCTACCAACACCTTCATTCTTGAGGGTATTGCGAACGACCACTCCCAAGCCATCTCCTGTGACTTGCATGCGAGTCTTGACAGTTTCAATTGGATGAGTAAAGTTGACGGTGAAGACGCAAGAGGCGCCTCCCAAAGCGATGGATTCGAGGAGAGTAGGAGCACGAATATCAGGCATCTTGTTGTTGTTCTGTTGTTTTTCTAGATTTTGAATAGTGTCTACCGGTATGGTCATTTCCTTCTGGAAAGAGGAGAAGGCAAATGGTTTTCGCACATCTGTTCCGCGGTCGACTCAATGGAATGCAAACGGTTCGCATCCAGAAAAATGACAAAATGACGGACGTAACGGTCGACGACAGGACGATGTATTTTGATGGTGAGAGAGAAGATTGAGCGGCAGCGTTGAAAAAATGACAAAAGTCATTTTTCTGATCCGCGGTGGGGCTCAAAGAAAATAGTGGCTGTGAATTGAAAGGTTTTCTGTTGGCAGATGGCTTCTGGGGTGCACTTGTGCCCTTTTTCGAGGTGGTGGATATAAGGTGATATCAGACACTGTGTATATTGTGCGAAAAAATTGTGGTTGCCGCAAACAACCCAAGTACTGACACGGTGATGTGATGCCCTAGTATTTTAGAAATCAGGCGCAATATGATGCTAGTGTACTGTATGATGCCGTAGTCTGTTAGAAATGTAGAATCAATAGGGTGCATTGATGAGACTGTTGCTGATCTTAAATTATCCTCCTGTAAACCAAACGATCATGTCCCACCCCTGAGATTGATCCTCTCCAGCCAGCATTTATCCTAATAAACATGTCATTAGGTACTACCGGTAGCTAGTCCCGCTTTTAAAAATGACTAGGAATTTGACCCATCTGCTGCAAGTACATCTCAAGAGCCGCTCGTTGCGCGAGGTTACTGATCATTGGTTGATGTTGGAAGGAGGCTTGTGCATCAGACGAAGAAGCTCCTACTAGATTGGATATGTGGTTGATCTTTGCCACCTGGTGATATTGAAGTGACTCACGTTCCTGTGGTGATGGGAAGTTCATGGTGGGTGATATTCGGCTAACATTAGCATCAGCAGTGTAGATATGATTGCTACTTCCATGAAAAGCAGTCTTCACTTGCTTCATCTGCTCCAATATTTCTTGTCGTTGCTTGTCTAGCATGCCCAGTTCCAGTTGCAACATCATATCTTGCTGTTGGGGTGCATACACAGCTATTCGACGTATCAGATTGATCATATAATCGTCTCCTTGTGCTGCGGATGAGCTTTCTGACGATGAGCATCCTTCCACCATCACTGGTGGGATTTGGGGTGGCTGCTGTTGAGGATCAGCACTCTCGGGGTTTATTTTTGGCATGAGATAAAAGTTAGGTGGTGAATCAGGTTCCGACCTCTTTCTTTCGGCAAGTTCTGCCGCAGAGGGCCTTGTCATTCTCAAACACATATCGGGTGCATCGCGGAGAAAGAGCTCATGATGGTAGCTGTTGAAATCTGGACCTGATGCGATCCTCCGAAAGCCCCATCCATTGATTTGACGAGCAAATGAAGCATACCTCCCATGGCGAAAGAATATCGGTAGAACCTCCTTTTCGAATCTCTGTTGTTGTTGCAAACGCCAAGATCTACCATGGGGTAGCCAGCAGATTATGTCACTGTACTCGGGATTATTCAATATCCGGTGCAACTTGCATGGAAAATTGAGTTGAGAGAGCTGTGAATTTGAAGAAAACGCTTTCGCTGACAGTAAGGCAGAGGAAGTTACGATATTCTGGGTATCTGTTTCACCACTCGCCCCTGATGCAGATGAGGATCCAAGAAGATCCACCTGTAGTGGCTGTTGCTGTTTGTTCATCATTTATTTACTATGAAACTGCGTGATCTGACGAAACGACGTCGTTTTCAGAAATTCTGTGACCAAGAGGCTCTTCCTGACGACGAGACTGATACATTAATCGGCTTCTGAATGAATCATCATCGAAGGAGGCCTTCGACACCATTGGTTTGTTGACATCTGCAGATATGCCAATGAGTCGGAACCTTCTCAGTTTTATATAACGCGAAACTTTGGGGAGCGCATCTACTTATAGTCAATCTAATTGTGACCAGATTCACTAGAATAAAACAAAGTGAAACCACCTTCTTTTAGGCCGTTTCTGTTCAATCTGGGGAAACGAACCATTACCACGTGTATGCGAGAGCTAAAAAGACTGCGTTGAATCCACCAGTGAGAGTGATCTGTATAAAAAAGAGATCCTAATTACCTACTGGAGTTCAATCGTATCAACCGCACATTAGCCGCTGATGAAGGTGTCGAATGATGTTCACGATCAGCTCCGTTAAGTAAGTGTCGTGGCGCTATTTGCATAGAAGAGTCAACTGCCGATTTCGAATTTAGTTGGAAATTAAAAAGGTGCAATGGTGCGTAACCCTTTTCGAGATATTTTGGCTCCTTTTGTGCTTTGAGGTTGGACAGAGGTTCGCTTCCAAAATTTAATTGTGAATGTGCGGTGGTGCACAGAAAACGAACGATACTCCACCTCACAAAGTCGAATCGCAAAATCAAAGCTACTACAGTACCATTACCCCTCCCCTATACCAGCCCATCGACAATCCAATCTCTTGCCATGCCCTATTCTTCGTTGGATGTTTTCCTTGATGATGACCCTTGACTTTGATCCATGCTGACTCGATGACCAAGTAGATTGTGAGGCCAGGCGACTGGAAGATGCTGCTGCTGCTGTTGCTGAAGTAAAGATTGCTGTATCCGCAGCGAATTGAGCTGTGATTGAAACCCAGTACCAATGGGTGACTGTGCATTTGTCGGACGGATGATTTGTTGAGATAAAATTAGCATTCGTTGCGCCGGGATCACGGGAATGGACGGCAGTGCCTGCAACTGAGACAAAATCGCTTGCCGCCGTTGCTCGAGCATTACCAGCTCTCTTTGCAATTGAACGTGCTGTTCCATGGGCGTTAAGAATGATAGGTTTCTACGATCAATAGGTGATCGCGAGAAAGAAGAAGTAGATTGTGCTGGAGGCGAGGCATATGTCACTGCCCTCACTTGCTTTGCCGCCTGCAAATCTCTTGTCAATGGCTCCATGCTATAGAAATCGGGCAGAGAGTCGGTTTCGTCGATCTCTCTCTCTTCTTTGGTTGGCCGTCTCATCTTTTTATAGAGCTCTGGTTTGCCCCTCAGAAAGTCCTTGTGATAGTAGCTATTGTAGTCTGGTCCAGATACAATTCGACGGAACCCCCATCCGTTTACTTGTCGAGTGAACGATGCATAACGACCATGTCGAAAAAAGTGAGGAAGCACTTTCTCTTCAAACTGCTGAGGCTGCAGGACTCGCCACGAGCGACCGTGAGGCAACCAGCATATGATGTCACTGTATCCGGGGGTACTAAGAATAACGAACAACTTTGCTGGAAAGTTTAATTCGGATGTTTGTTTGGAAGAAGGATCTTTTGTAGATGTTACGGCTTTCTGCCTGCCCAAGCCATCCGGTGGATTTAGCTCCTCTGTTTCCGCTTCGCTAGTCCCCGTCAATTGTTTGTTCATCAAAGAAATTTCTGCTGCCTAGAATTGAACTTTTCCACCATTGGCAGTGCTCTCTATTTACGGTTTACTTGTATTCTTTGCTGGTGGAAATCAGCAACGAGGAAGGACAAATTGTGATGGAAACCAGTTGTGAAATTTCACGAGAAAACGGGAGCGAACTGCAGGATTAAATGATGGCCAGCTCGGGCTCCTCGGACTTTTTTCAGAGACTCATTTCAGATTTTGCAGGATATTTAGGGAAAAGGAGATCATCTATTGAACATGTGATCGTATATTTCAAGTCATAGAATACGGCACTGGCCACTTCGCGCGTTCGTTATGTAATCAAGTAATGACATATGTACCAACGACACACTTTTCCTCCGGCATGCATGTACATGTTCCTCCGAAGAAATGCTGCAGGAATTAAATCGTTACCTTCAAGCAACTCAGTACATTGATACAGTGCCAGTAAGCATCCTATAATGGTACTCTGCCTGTCGCTTCGACTTGAGATAAAAGGGCGATTGTAGCCAAATGGTACAGTGTCTTACTGAAGAGATTTCGAGGTCCTCCTGAACTTGCACCCCATACATACCTGGTACGAGCACCCCCGTTCCAATCCGGTATTCTCGTACGGTAGCATGCGCGACTGTTGATGACTGACAATCGAACAGCAAATGTTAATTAACACCGTCGCATACGCCGGTTTATCTTTAAAATACGATGGTTCAATTCGTCCTCCTCCGTCATTGAATGTCTGATCCACAACAACACGCCAAAGCACAACGATGGCATGCATACCGGTAAATTGAATCTTGCTGTTACTTCCGAAGTAATAGCGGACCATGATGAGGAATGATAGTATTTCGAAATCCTCAGGAGGATGCAAGTTGGTAGAAAAGACCGCTATGATAACGCCATTCTTCAATCACTCACTTGCAATGCCTTCTCCATATATATAAGCTGGAATGTCGCTGCCATTGCATGCTTAAAACAGTTTGGAGCGCTTAGCTTGCATTTCAATTTTGCGTTCATTTTTTGAACTCTTAATTTGAACTTCGATTAGGATGTACAGAAACAGTTTCTTACGAAATGAGAATTTTGCGATTTTGGTTTTGTAATTTTGGAGAGAAATGCGACAAATTTGGGAAGCATTTCTGACAAAATATAGGTTCTACAAGACCAAATCGTACATACAGACGGACCAAAACGTGAGATTCAATCTCACATCTGACTTCCATCGTCACAAAATTGACACTATACATTGAAAAATAGAAGTGACTACTCACAGGTAATATCCCTCACAAGTATATAATCATGAACTCACCAAAACACGCCAGCTCTTTGGCTACTCCTCCGTCTACTCCAGGCACGCCTCACGTGGATTCTGCGTCTCTTGCATCTTCCAAGTCACCACCGGCATGGAATTCACGATGCCGGAAAACCGACCAGAAATCGAAGAATCGGACAGCAATTTTCAATACAATGAATCTCCATCAAGCCTGCAAGAGCTCCAAATTTAACGTCAAAGTCTTATCCAACACGACTGGAAAGCCACCACGAAGGCTTTTGAGGCGACACAAGCAGTTCACATACTGGAATCAAGTTTCCATGTTGACCGACGATTGTGAAGAACCAGAGTCCGATAGATGCGAGAGAGTTTATCATGCGTGAGGAAATTGTCCGCAAACAAGCTCTGCTATCACCTGAGTTCTAAAGAGTGCGTCAGAAAAAAAGGAATGACCAGGATACGATGCCCCCAAATCGTTGTTGGTTCCTCGTTTTGTCCCTTATGACCGAGCAACAAGAAGATAAGAAGAAAGATAGAAAACCATACATATCATACTTCAATCCTACAAATCATAGTATTCCATTCATCACCGCCTTTAGAAAACAAGGAGAGTTGTATTTCCACATAACCGATACCCATGTCATGTGACATGTGAATGTTCTTATTGTCAGTCGCAATTTGGTCACATTTTTACAAAATCGGATTCCAATTTTCTCGTTGACAAAAAAGAAGAAATTGTAAAATATAGGAGTAGTCCTAGGACTATGTATCGTATACATTTCGTGTTATTTATTCTTTAATTCATCCCGCTCCATGATATTGGCCTTTCTATATACGCTCTTTCTCAAATCATGTGAACCGTGGGAGAGGAATCACATGAGAATTCTTGTGCCCTCCACAATCGCGACCACCGTCGACGGTGACGTGTAGTAGGAATAGTAGTAATGTCATTTTCACTCCCTTTGATTTGGGACTTCTTGGTGTCCTCATCATTAGTGCTGCTTTCTTCTTGTTCTAGCGAATAGACACTAGAAATGCTCCCGTCACCATAGCTACTGCTGGATGATTCGCTGCCGAGAGAAATGGAATCCAGGTAGGGATCGTCAATATCGTCCAGCATGGTGTCCATTTGGTGGGAAGGCTGGAACGAAAATCGTTGCTTCCAGCTTTTTCGTTGTTGCCTTTGAGAGTTCGGAGACTTGCAATCTGCTTCTTCTTCTTCTTCTTCCGCTGTTGTGGCGGTGGTTTCGTCTCCATCCAGAGTATTATTACTGCTACCCAAAAAGCGACCCCAGCGAAAGCTTGCACTCTTCTCCCCAGTGCTCTTCATTGATGATGACGTAGTTGACTCGGCCGTCATAGTACTATCTTCTTCCATTTGTTGTTGTTGTCGTTGTTGTTCCTGGTGTTCCTTTTCTTGCTGTTCCTTGCTCCACCAGTGTCCCCATCGGTCTTCATTCTGTTTCTTCTTTTTGGCCATGATGGCTTCGAGGGACTGTATTTGGAGGGCTGCAACAAGTGGTGCATCCGATTTGGCTCCAAATTGTTTCAATGGTGGCAGTTGTTGATCCTCCGTAAATACCTTTCTCGACTTTTGATTGGTGGGAGATGGCGTCGACAAGGGCGAAACCGTATGTGTTTGGTCCAGTGTCAGTGGCAACGGAATTGTCACTTCCCCTTGTTGTTGTTGTGTATGATGTGTTGGGACAAAACGAGCAGCCCATGGATTCACTAGCAATCTTTTTGTAGCTTTGACGGGAGAGTTGCAGTCCGAGCGGCTCCCACTCCGATCGTCGCTGTTGCTTGTGGTCGTTGATAGTGTGATCGTTGTGCAATCCCCTTCCTCTTCTTCACCAAATTCATAGTTATTGTTATTCTTGATTGGGTCCTCTGCAATTGTATGAAACGAAAGCATAAGGATTTATTGATTCGTGAGTAATGTGTCTCGTTCCACCTTGTCAAACAGTTAAACTGAACATACCATGTAGATATTTGGCGCCGTGGTTTGATGATTCCAACAAGGAGAGATTATTCTCGTCGATGTGTTCTACGACGATCAACTTTGGATCAGCACTTTCTTGAAAAGAGAATTCGTCGTTGCTGTAACTATTGTCTCTGCTGGTATTTCGTTTATGATGATTCATCATTGTGGCCATCATGTTATCACGGTCGTGTTGTTGATGAATTATTGTTCCTTCTTGCTTCTTGCTTGTTGTTCCTTCTTCTTCTTCTCGGTTAATTGTAAAATAATGTGCTCCCTCAATTCACGGCCAAGTGCAGGACGTTTGTGAATAAAAAATGGTGGCCGAAACCAGCATCACCAATCCATACCTGAATTCCATACCTAAATCTTTTTTGTTCGGCAAATTCAGAGAAGGTTGTCACTCACAAGTCTTGTTGAAATCCACAAAAGTGTTGGGCGCAGCTTTGGTTCATGTCAACCAATGATCGGCTCGCGTCGAACGTCCCATCCAGAAATTTAGCCAAATTTGAATGTGTAAAGTACTGGGTACACGTACGAGCCTCGGCCGTTTCACAAGACTCAACGTTTTTGATTTCCTCTAGGTATGATTTTCTGTGTGCGTCTCGCTAGGAAATTGCCGCACGAAGGAAACGGTCGTGTGAAGAATACTG